AGACCAGAGACCTGTAGTTCACTGAGCGGTTTCACACTAAAAAATGTGTAACTTCACAGTTTTACGACACGTTTTTATTTTTTTGACTTGCAAAATGTTCTTTTAAATTGACAAACATCATATGTGTCATTCGTGGCACAATTCAAACGGGATCAAAAGATAACCTTTCTCTCTCCATTGACTTCAATGTATAATTTTCCGCTTCCGGGGTCCCATGGAGGCTTTCGGAAGGGGAGGGACTTCGCCTCTCCATATACGGCTCTGGAGTAAACACAGCAGCAAGCTTTGGGACGGCCTCCCCTCTCTCCGGCAGAAACAGGAAATGCCGTAACTGTATGTAACAACGGTTTCAAATCAGCATCTCTAGACAAAAAGTTTAAATTAATAACTCAAATAAAACTCCAAACATCTTTCATTGTGTTTCAAAGCTCTTTTAGTTTTAAACCTGATGTTTATAAGCTTCTTAGTTTTTGCAACGGTCTGTAAATATACACAACTTTATAATAAAATGCACACATTTACCTTTTTCTAGACTAAACACAGGTATGATCCTAAGTTAAAAACATATGAGGTTATCATGAGGTTGTTAACATCGCAATTTATCAGTTGATGTTTTGCTGGAACTACTTGTAAACAGCGTGTTTCCTGACGGACACACACAGCGTGACTCCGGTCAGGTAGACCGGTCTCAAGTCAGCACCGCTGCAGACCATGGATGTATAATAAGAACAGAGAGAACAGAGCTGCAGACTCGCTGTTTGAGGGCTTGATAGCCCACTCCCCCTCCACACTCGTTGCTTTGCAAACGGAGGGGTATGGTGTAGGGCTCGGTTTGGTAATGAGCCTTTGTCAGAGCCCTCTGGTTTTTGTCATAGATAGATGACTCAACCCGCGCTGCTGGCCAATGGAGACCGACGTTGCCACATGGCGGCCATCTTGCCACAGGCAGCTCGCTCATTCATAACATTTGTTACGAACACAACCGATCTGTGAATGTCTATTAAACTCAAGCCCACATAATTCTCCCATTTCAATAATACATTAATGGAATGGAATTTGAATACAATCTCTGTTTCCAAAATGTAATTTTAAAGTGCATTCTCTATGTGACCACGGTGGAGATATTTCACTTACCTACATCTGATATACTGTAGCCCAGAGGTGCCCAGTACGTCGACCGCGGGGGCAATGCTGGTAGATCGCGAGTCATTCATTAAAAAAAAAATCCTGTTCCGTTAAAATAGACCAAACAGGTTTTGATCTCTCCTCCCTTGGCCTCCCTGCCACTTAATTCAGGAGTTTACTTGATTGACAGAAAAAGCGACCTATCGCTTTCCAGTCTGTTAACCCAGAATGCAAAGCGATACAAAATCAGTCAAGTGCCGGGAAAACTCAAATTAAGTTAAAGAGACAAACAAGAGACAAACAACAAAATGAGTGCCGGACCGAGCAAGAAGCTAAAGACATACCACTTCCACCCAGAATGGGAGGAAGAATATTTGTTTGTGATGTCACATTCAAAGGTTATTTGCCTTATTTGTAAAGCAAGCGTCGCTCTGCCAAAGAAAGGTAACGTGGAGAGGCATTATCGGAGTGTTCACAAGGCATATGACAGCGACTTCCCTCCGAGTAGCGAGTTGAGAAAGAGAAAGGTCATGTATTATTGCTACACAAATATTATCTCGCAATCTTAGTGTCGCCAACTCGTTTCTAACATGCAAAAAGACAAACAAATGTCGGTGTATTTTCGATCTTTCCAATCGAGACGAGATCTCTCTCCCCTATCTGTGCGCGAGGGGGCGAGGCAGTTTACACACACGCGGCTGCTACAAGCAGCAACACACGGAGGAGATGGCGGAGAGAAGCGCTCCAAGGTGTGGTTAAATGTTACCCGTCTTGAGGTGGACAATGCTCCTTGCCAAGAGAGTTCAGCATGTGAGGGCGGTAACACGAGCAATGTGTCAAACATTTAGCAAAAGTGCACCACATCCAGACGGAGGAATGCACCGGGTTCGACTGTCTTTCTAGCAGCTCTGCAGCCCCATCCACGAGTAACGTTTCCACGTCAGGTGTTATGTATGCTAGCAGCAACACACGCAGTTAACTCAATGATTCAAACATGGGTTAATGATTATAGGAAACTGAGTTACTCTTTATTTTGTTAAAGTTTCAGCTATTCTGTTCACAGTTCTGTCATCAGATTATTTAATACGATTTGTTAAAACATTGTTGTTTCTTTTGATGTGAAATATTATTTATTTAATTTAAATAAAAAGCAATGTTAGTTTTGTTCACAATTTGTTAATTTAATAATATATGTATTTTTGAATCAAGTATTCATCTTTATTGTCTTCATTGTTAGTTTCCACATGCCTAAAACAACCTCAAGCTAGATCTAAAAGTTGATGGCTAAACAAGAGGGTTTGATAAATTGTGCAAGGCATACAGTAATAGTCTGAATAGTCGTTTCATTAATCGATAGATTAATCGATTATCAAATTAGTCGTTTGTTGCAGCCTATTATCCCATGTATAAATAAAACGTGTTATTCAGCAACCCTTGCATTTTGGGATTTTATTTTTGGTTGGTAGACCTCGGTGAGCTGGTCATTTCAAAAGTAGCTCACCAGCCCAAAAAGTGTGGGCACCCCTGCTGTAGCCTATGTTGGATGTAGCCTAGTTTTTACATATTTAGTTTCTACAATCTGTATTTATGGTTTAACCTGTCCTGAACAACTAAATGTCAACCCTCATATATCAAGCATCCTTTGGTTCCTACGTAGCTTTATTATAAATCAAGATGTTGAATTGATAGTGTCCAATCATCGTTTAAAAATGTGTTTTTAGAGCTGAACCTGCACTTTGAGAACAGGCACAGCTTAGTTGTTTGCATCAAATGTTCAAAGTTGTTTCCAGAAAGCAAATCCTGTAAACCAGGGGTCGGCAACAGGCGGACCGCGGTCCGGATCCGGACCCAGACGCCGACCTATACGGACCTGGAGCTATAATCAATACATTAATAGGAGATTTTTCGGCGCCTCCCGCTTTTTTAACGCTGATTTGGGTGACTTGCGTAATTCGTGGAGAACCGAAGAGTTTTCGTTTTGGGGGTGGGGGGGAGGGAGTCCGTCCGTCCGTCAGTCCGACTGACGGACAACTTTTCACTTCAAAAAAGAAGATGAAATCTAGACCGCAAAAATAATTAAACAAGCGAGTACCTGTTTTTCCTGGCCAAGGACAGGTTCCTTGAACACAACACGAGCGTAACGTGTCTTCACGTGGTATATGTCTCGTCTGAAAGGAGTGCTGAGCACCGGAACGCCGCTCCAGCCCTTAAAATATTGCAATACCCACATGCCGCAGTGTTTGCGTGGCTGTGTCTTTAGTTGTAAGCACAGTGGCGATCTGTTGTTATTAGCATCTGGTTAGCTAGCTATGCTAACGAATTTAAAGAGCTTTTCTACAACCAGGTGGAAGAGAGCTATCTCCTGAGAGGCTCAAATAACCTCAGCTCAGTGAGGTTAAGGCACACCTTGATATGATCATTATAGTTATTAATGAGACTAAATGAAAAACAGGTATAAAATACTATATGACAGTAACAAAAAAGTTGTTAAAAATAACAAGAATAGAGTTTAAAAGGGGAGTGATTTGTAAAATATCCAAAAAGAAAAATATGCTTACAGTTCTGTTTCATATGGGTGTTGAGAGATGTATCCATAGATCTCTTAATGTTGCTCTCAAAGTGCACCAGATTGATGCTTTTAACTTCAATATTTAAAAAAAAATCTTCCCGGGGGAGCATGCCCCCGGACCCCCCTAGAGGAGGTTAGGTCCCCCCCCACTTAAATCATGTTCACATGGATAGGATACTAAATACATTTGCACACATCTTGTGTCCATATCTCTCTGTTTTGGTGGTCATTCCACACCGTGCACGTGCATGCATACGTGAGTCATGGTAAGATATCTGGATTGGTTGCTTTTTCTTTGCACAGCATGAAAGAAAGGCCAAATGAATGGGCTGTGATTTTAGTTTTTTTAAGCAAAGGTTGAGTTCAATAATTTGTACGACCCTCGGAGGATGTTGTAAAAATTGAAAGGAAAAAGGTTCCCCACCCCTGCTGTAAATAATAATAAAAACCCTTGATTTTTAACTTAACATCACTGTCTCTTATTGATCTGAGTATATTATATAGCCAGTTAATTGAAGCATAGCACAGGCCTTTGTCAGATGGTATATTACGCTGTTTTTTTCCTGCTTCGAATAGTTCTCTCTTTTTTCACCATACCTGTGTTTGCATCCCTGTAACCAATGAGCACCTGCATGTGTGTGAGAATGGCCCTGACACCATTTCAGCCCAGATTTACAAACTCTGGCAGGACAAGCTCGAGCTCAATTCTCACACTGAATTTTAAAAAAGTGAGTGAGGGACTGCAATATAAGAGGGAAAGAAAGAGAAACTTTAAAACTGTCCAATTGTTATGATGTAAAGACTGATATTGTTCTATAATCGGCTGAAATTGTTAGGTCATGATGTGAAACGGTTAACAAAGAAAAAGGGACACTCAAGCTGCTGCTAAACTTTATTTTAGCACTTTTAAGATGCACATATTTTCAAAAGCTATTTTATTTATTTTCTCTATTTTATTTGTAAATGCAGCCCGAGAGGAACATTACACATATCCACAGTATTTAAGTAATGTTAATTGACAATAAATATTGTTGTTTTTGAATTGTACTTTCTTTATTTGATTGGCAGTCAGTTGTTGATTACATGCAGTCGTTGATAAAGCTAAGGTACAGGTCACTTCAATATATATATATCACACTAATTCATGAAGCAAGTTAGACATTTTGATGTTCCGGACCTTTGCATGGGGACATTTTCTCTAACTGGACCTCGTTGAATTTTAGTTGAAGACCCCTGCTGTAAACCCTTTGACTGCAGCACAATGCTCCGATTCAAGATGGTGACTTTATGCTCTATGGAGATGAGGGAGGATGTAACACATTGCATTTTATTTGTGTGATAATGAGTACATATACTCTTACTGCCATATCAGTATACAACACAACCAACACTGAGTCAAAGATTTGACTTGCTGAATATTTTGAATATGTGTTCAATACAAAATGTTTTATATGTTATCTTTACATAATTAATACACTTTCTGAACAAAGACAGTACATGAATACAACTGTATTTATTAAGGAAGTATCTGTCAGGCAAATGAAAAGTACAGTTTACCAACATAAATTGTGCTGAAAAAGCCATATTAAACACTAAAACTAAACAAGATAAATACTACAACAGAAATTCACATACTTAAGACACAAACACTGAACAAAATAAACAATGGGAAACTTTCTCCACACCAAGACATAAATAAATATAAAAACACTTCCTTATACAGACACGTGTTAAATTCATTTTCGCAGTGAGCCGGCTGGTAATAGCACCACACAGCATATTAAATATGTGGCAGCTTTATCCGTTATCAGTGCAAAGAACAAGAGAAAAAGAAGAAGGTGAAAACTTGGTTGGAATGTATTTTAATAGTGGTGGGTCGTCGAAAATCCTGCGGGAAAAGGTGATGTGTTTTATAAAGACACTTAATGTGAACTTGATTAATTACAAGCATTGTTAGGATAGTGTGAGGTAAGCGTGTTAGGTGCATGTTTCCTTATATGCAGATCCTGCGTGGGTCTAAGGAACAGACCAATACAACAAACAGCAGCCTGTTTCTGTCCTCACCTCCTGTCTCAGCAGGAGGAGCACCAAGCCCAATATTATTCAGCAGTACTGAAATGCAGTGAGCGACTATAACAACTAAAAACTTAGCTTGGTCTGAGCAACATAGAGAGGCACACATTTACACTCTTGTGCACATCAGATCCAGTGGTTCTACTCAATGAAAAGATCAGTAAGGTGTTCGGATGAAGGGCAGACTCCTCTCTCTTGATTTAAACATCTGTAATAACTTAAAATGCATAGATTGCATGAACAAAATCTTTCAAAAAGCATTCAAATAACTTCAATTGTTATCTCATGTAAACAAACCTTTTGACACACATTTTAAACTAAATCTAGTTGTCAAATATCCTAGGTCTTTGAATATCTAAAACTGTTGTCAGTATAACAATAAAAGTTACTTATTTCTAAGATTCATTGCGTTACTCCACCTAAAATCTTTCATTTGAGCATCAAATGCTCATCCTATCAATGCTTGACAGGTTAAAAGGTGGTAGTTTCCTTCCTTACTGAAAGTTTGAATGGATCAATAGGTGGTGAGTTGTACCAGGTGAGCTACTGCTACTACTTCAACTCTGTCCATATGTTCCAGAAGATGTTTATATAAAACATTACTAAAAACACTTGAAGTGTCACCCTCATTGAAGCTTCTTTAAGTAGTGTATCTGGAAATAGTCACATTTAAATGACTGAGCATACTGAACAGTTCATAATTTCAGCTCACCATAACTGCTCTACCGACAGGATGTGTGACATCTGATATAAAGATTTAAGACCAGCCTTAGGAATCGGACATTTTGCAGGGGATTTATATAAATTAGACTTTTTAATGTTCAGTTTAACATAGCTTATTTGACTCAATCCCTGGTATTTTAGGTATGCCATGACATATATTAACATCAAAACCTACAAGCCCCTCATTCATTCTTTAAAAGTATGCTTATTGTTACACAATCCAAAAAATAAAACTAAACAGTGCACAGCTCCATTATTGTTATTCTATACTTTAATAGAGGCCGAGCTCGAAAAGAGCATCATTTGAATTGTGCCAGTCACCACACTGCAAGCACTGAAAGAGTTTTGTTAGTCAAATCATCCTCATGCCCACTTCCTTTCAGAATAATGTGCTATTCATGTTGAAAATAAATTAACACCAACATACATCTATATGTACAATAAAGATTCACATGTTTTCTCGGTTGGGCTGTACTTAAAGTTGTTTCAATTTGAGCCAAACTATGAAATTGTGTTCCCTCCTGAGACGTGTTAGGTTGCAGCAACTTAACAGCTTTGTTAGTGCTGATACATAGCCATTAGACCATTATCTTGTAGTGTAATGTATAACTCTGGGAAACACTGAAACCACTCAAGGTCTGATGTCTCAAAATACAACCTGCATATAAGCGGCTGGTTCCACAAATGACAGAAATATGTCCACACAAGCTTCTTAAAGTGAGGATAAGCAAACAGCAAGGTTGTGTTTGGCCTATCAAGGACTTTTTCTCCTGGCCAATATTTGACATAGGTGTGGTGCCTTGTCGACAGGAGACATATATCAACCTTATTTAAAGGGAACTTTTCAGGCATTGCTCCATGACTTTAGGCTCCAGTGATACTAAAAGCTGTGTCTACTTTTTGGCATGGTACAGATAATAAACATGTAAACGGAGCACAGGTAGATTTTGACACAGCTATAATAATATTTTCGGTTGAGAATCAGAATAATGGAGCTGAGGTCAACACATTTAGTGTACAAACAAATCATAACTGTGAGGGTACAAACATCCACAGCTTTGATTTCTAAAGCAAAAATATTCTGCTCAAAATGTGAAAATGCAAAATGTAAGTAGTCATGGTACATGTAAACTGCCTCAGCAGCTGACAGAAAGGAGAAACATTCAGAGGCCGACCGTCGGACACATGTAGTAGTTGCACTGGGTTTATAAATAGATTCAGTTCTTATTTCTCTGCAGAGCCTCACACAGGTTGTGATTGGGATCTGGCTCCTGACTCATGATCTCAACACACTCCCACTCTCCACTACAGCTGGACCGCTTCACTGCCTCCACCACGGTCTGCACGTACAGACCATCTTCAAATGTCGGTGCCATGGCGACCGGTCCTCGTGCCCATGACCTGCGCTCCTCATGAGCCTGAAAAGACTCTCTCAGTGCCTTCACCATGGAGCTGAGCCCCTGCAGGTGAGGCAGGGTCATCTCTTTCACCTCTGGCCCCACCCACCCACTGTCGCCTAGCAACAGCTCCTCACTTTTACTCCCGTTGCGCTGGCCATATAGCTCTGTCCCCCTGGCAACCAGTCTCCCAGTGGATCCGACTACCATTACTTCGTGCACAAATGACCCCGGCATGTTGAAGTTCAAGGTGACAGTGCAACAAACGCCGCCCGAGCGAGACCCGGTTCCACCCATCAACATCTGGAAGAAGCAGAAATCGTCACTGGTGACGCGGCGGATGCCTCGGATCAAACCATTTTGTTGTACAAAGGTCCGCAATAAGCCATGAACACGATGGGCTCGTTCACCCGTCAGGTAACTTAAAAGGTCAATGACGGAGGAGCCGACGGTGTGCAGTCCGCCTCCGCCCATCAGCTCCTCACACGTCCAGCCGTACGCCTGGTCCAGGAGGCTGGGGCCATACACACGCACATCACACACCTGCATCTCGCCAACATATCTCTCCACCAGCAGCTGGCGCATTGCCGCGAAAGCTGGCAGGAAGCGCAGGGTATTACCCATAATGCTGAGCAGCTGTGGGTAGTATCTGGCAGCAGTCACCATCTTGAAGGAATCCACAGCGGTTGCAGCTTTCTCACACAGAACATTCTTACCTATACCTGCAGGGAGAGAGAGACAGGAAGGGTTTATACTTATCTCTGAACAAATTACTGAGTGCAATTAGAGTACTAGAATTTTACTTTAACAAAATACAATATGTCACCCCACAAACTTTTTAATGATTTTTTGGTTGTATTGTATTGGAAAAACAGTAACAAAAAGATTGAACAGCTAATTTATTTTTAATTAATCTGGTTATCTTTGTGTTGATTACGAGGGTTCCTAATCAGATTTGTTCTATGCCTCTCTAAACTGCATTTGTTCGTTTTGAAGTTGCAACTGAGTGTGTATTAAATATGATTTGAAGCTGTAGGCTGGACTTGATATGTCCGTGCTTGGGCACCCTGTGGAGTCGACTGCTTTAAATACTATTACCCCTCAGTTCCTGGAGATTGGTATGAATAAACAAAAAACTCAACATTCTCATGCAGCCACATCGATAGCACAGAGGGTGTGTATGGCTTTTATATATGGAGATTGGCGGCCTTGGGAGTAGTGCCGTTGATAAATACTTTGGTGGGGAATTACTCAGGAAGTTGCAACTAAAACAGGAAGCTGAGGTCAACCCTCAGGAATTCCATCAGATACAGTAAGATAACTTTATAGATCTAGTCTCCTCTGATAAGGAAATGTTTCCTTCAATGAGCTGCCAACAGATGTAAAATGTGGTTAAGTTTTAATCCATAAGGATTTTCTTTTTCGTCCCTCAAAATGCTATTTTCCCTGTGGTTACGGCTATGATTGTCATTAATCACATCACTAGGATAAACCCTGAGGAATAGGTTACAGAAAAATGCAGCCATTTTTAGTTTTCGGAGAGTACTGTCATTACAGTCAAAAATGTTAAATCTGTTCCAGAGCCGACCCACCAGGCCCAGCTGGGTCAAGTCACGTTAACTGTCTGTATTTGTAGATGATTTTAGTAGTTAACTGTTATATAAGATCTGAAGCTGGTGTTTAGGAAGTAAACTTTTTTTGTAATCATTAACTTAAACAAAAACCGTTGAACCGTTGTATGTAAAATAAAAAATGTGCAGCAGCCTCCTGTATGTATTTATTATGGCTTGTGATAGAGTGACTGCATGTTTATATGTTTTGCACTCGTGTTTAGTGCAAAAGTGCCCAAGGTTTTTGGACAGGATAGCATGATAAAAGTAAGTGTGTGACTTCTTACCCAGTGCTTTGACAGCAATCTGCCTTGTCATTGAGGGTGGAATATAGATGCAAACAAGGTCGACGTCTTGGTGCAGCAGGACGTCATCAGATCGGCTGGTGTGGAACGGGATGCCGAGCTCCTTTGCCAGGCAGCCTGCTTCCTCTTCGCTTTTCCCCCAAACTGCATGGACCTCAAAGCCTTCAGCTTTCAACAGCGGTACCAGCACTCGGGCTGTGCTGCCCGTGCCAAATACACCGACTCCTGGCAACATGGCAGTGCCACTCAGTGCGACCTTACGTGCGAACCATAGCCAGCCTCAACAACATCCCAAGAGCATACAATTCACTTTCCTCTCATGTCTTGACTGTTTTTGGAAATTAAGATTGTACCTGTAAAAATAAAAAGGAGGTAAATAATATGTCACATTGACTTAATCTGCAATATGTGTAAAAAAAAAATGTTATGCTGTTGCCTAAAGATGGGCAATAATGCTGTGCACACTCGTCCATGTTAACACATTCACTGTTCATTCAAAGCAGTTAATGCTGAGTTTAAGACCAGACATTATAGGATAATTGATCTATTTCACATTATTACGATAACCAAAACCAGTACAGTAACTTGTCTCTTATTGCACAATATCTATTATCTCCAGTGACTGGATCAACAAACAGGACAAACATGTCTAATGGAGGTGTAGACCAGTTTCTCCCATCAGCAGTCTCCGATAGTTACTTGCATTGTGTCCTGCTACATAGTTAACATGCCATTCCTCAGTTGATCCACACCCACCTAAAGTCAACGTCACCTCTACCTCTGTAGAGCCACGGATGTCTGTGTGTTTGACCCTATCCAGGTTAAACACTTATTCAGTGGTGTGAATGTACAACAACTTGAACACAGAACAGCATAGTTCATCAACAACGTATCTAAATGACATGATATATAGATATAAAAATGACTTGAGTGATATTATTGTATTCCTTATCTCCTAACACAACCTTTGTTGACTTTCTAAACTAACTGTTATGAATATGCAACTATAGTGTGAATTTCAGCCTATGAAAGTGCTGTTAGTGGGGGTTGTATGGTGGAGCACCTGCCTACACCATTATCTCTTTTGAGAAGTAGGGTGGGGGGGGAACAGCTCTTCGTTGGCTGAGTTCTAATGGGGTTGTAAAAAAGAGACTATACATGGTTTGTCTATTTATAATACTGGGAATATACATTTATGGGAGAAGATATGACGGTGACATTAAAATACTGGCTGGCAGGGACAGCTTGTCGCCATGACTGTACAACCACAGACTGATAATGGCACCTGCATTACCTGTGTTAACCTTAAGAAACATATGGTCTGCATTTATCACACTGGATCACCTCGGGTTGTAAACAGCCAAACAAACACATTTACCAGGTTTTCTCTCACACAGACAACACTGAAAGTAACCTAGCCTTGCTGCTATTTGCTAATCAGATAACAAAGTAATAACTCACACAATACTGCTGTTGGGATCAAAAATACTTTGGCTGTAGCTATATTTAACAATACCACTTACTTGTGCAAAGTGGCCACTACTTTGAACAGTCTATACAGGAGTGTGATGGTGGATAGCTAGTGTCCACACACACTTAGCTAACATTAGCTAGCATGTTCAGCTAGCCAGCCGCAAAACGAGACCAAAAAGCCCCCGATAAACAAAGCTACTTTACAGAGTTAATATCTAGAGATAAGTCGTCTAACTGTCTTTGAACTTGGCTTGATAAAAACCCATCATATGAGTAAAATGTGCTACCTACTGTATGAAGCAGGACAACATGAACAGCGGTTGAAGGTGCTCCGCCGGGCGCTGCCCAGTTGCTAGTGGTAACTTCAGTAGCAACGGCAGGACTGTGGGGAGGACCAGAGATACTACAGGAGGTAAGAGATGGCTCACCAGCGAAGAATCAAGGGAAAGTTACACCTCAAAATTATGGCTTTAGCCTTACGCACATTAATACTAAATAGACGCAAATGTGCTCCCTGTGGAACTTGTTATTATATCGATTAAAGGCAAATAACTAAAACATAACGTGGATTAATTATGTGACTAATTGCTGTGTGTCAAGTGGAGCAAGTGGATTCTCTCTCTCTGTTTCCCCATGATTCAGTGCGATGAGACTTCACAAACCTCCTTTACAAAGTTTTATGTACACAGTTTTTATTTCTTTAGTGATATTTTAGAAGTAACCATTTTAGACATGATTACAATTAGTTACACTTGCTATGGTTAACTTAAGCTACGCCATACACTGGCAATAATAATAATTTTACACCAACACATCCACTGCTGCCATTGATAATATTTTTGTATAGTTTTGAATGCCCACATTTTTAAATATGCATATGATCTTTCACTCTTTTAATAAAGGAAGATATTATTAAACTGTACAGACATTTACTGTTTTTGTTCATCATTTGTATCTTTTAAAAGTATTTAAATCAAATAAAAAAGGTTCCCTGTTGTCAGGAAAGAGTCAAACACAAAGAAGGGATCTAAAAAGGCCATCAGGTGGCTGACAAGGTTACCATGCAGAAATTCTTGCTCTACAATTTGCTGTTTCAGAAGACAATAACATAACACTTGAAACATGACACAGTATCCAGGATTAAAATGATGCTGTTTGGTAAGTCAATACAAAAAATGTACGCAAAATATTGCAAACTGCTATTTGTTTTTCGAATGTTTAATATGCGAACTCATTTTTTATTAAAAGTAGCCTAGTTTTATTATTCACGGAAACAAAAATAATGTGGTCATCATGTTCTTTGTGCCTGTATTATAACTAGCATAAATAAATTGATTTATACATGTAAAAATAAAGATAATTGAATTCCTTTTCGACTAACTTATTTTAGAAGAACAAGAAGAGAAGAGTAAACATCTCTTTCAGTTTTAGGCATTATAGATGACCATAGCTTTGATGGCATTATTTTTTATTATATTACTCTTATTGTTTAAGAATCATGTAAATGATAAAACACCATCATTTATATCACCGATTAACAGGTATAAAAGGAACAGAATTTAGACCATGCTGATGGTTTTCTGATTTGTCAGACCTTTTAATTAAAAATAAAGTTACATGTAATGACTTGGCTGGTGAAAATTAGGGTTAATTCTAGACCACCTTTGAATGCATCATAGCTATACAATTTAACAATGAGAATATTTAAGACTAATCTTCTGTCCAGATCGTTTTCACTTGTAAAGGAAATCACCTGTACATTGATTTGACCCACAAGCTTTACCCACACTGGCCTGTTGGGGCACTCGTTTTCTAACGGACCTGCAGGGGGAGCGCAAGGAATTATGGGACTTTTAGTTCTCAGCAGAGGACGGTTGTCTTGATAACACCGCGAAGAACAAAACGAGACATTTACCACCGAAAATAAAACGCCAGCCTCAATTTCATCATAAATACAAGCTCTACATGCTTGGAGTCCGGATACATACCGGTGGATTTAGCGGTCGTAAGAAGAAAAGCAGCTCACTGTTGGTGAAAAATAAACAGGAAGTTGTTAGCGTTGTGGGACGTGTAGTTCCGCTTGTAGGCCACTGAGCTTCATTACAACGCATTGAAAAAAGAAACAACAATTAAATAAGCTAAACTTCACCCCGACGACCGTGCTCTAAAGCCTAGGTGTTGAAGCAAACATGCCCGGTTTTACGTGCTGTGTCCCGGGCTGCTACAACAACTCGCACCGGGACCGGGACCTGCGCTTCTACACGTTTCCCAAAGACAGCACGCTGAGGGAGCTGTGGCTGCGGAACATCTCCCGGGCCGGGGTCAGCGGCTGCTTCAGCACCTTCCAGCCCACCACCGGGCACCGGGTCTGCAGCGTGCACTTCGCCGGTGGGAGGAAGACCTACACCATCAGAGTGCCATCCCTCTTCCCTCTGCGGGGGGTCAATGAGCGCAGGAGCCGGAGGGGCAGAGGCAGGAAGGCATCGGGGGCTACTGCACCCGGTGCCGCAGCCCCCTCCGGGATATTGATCTCCAGTGTGCTGGGCAGTGTGGCCGCGGAGGGAGCCGAGGGCACCACCGGAGGAGAGGCGAGTGATGACAGCAGCATCACCGTGGTGCAGATAGGGCAGAACGGGGAGTACCTGGGCACGGCGCGGCTCCCCACACAGACAGAGGGGACATGTTACACGGAGCCCATCACCGAGGAGTTCATCGGTGACGACCTGTCGGAAAACGGGTCGCACCTGGCGGCCGTGCATTACGTGAGTGTGACCAGCAGCCCGCTGGACCACTCGTACTCGCTGACCACCGGCACCACGTCGGCCGAGCTGCTGCGGAAGCTGAACGAGCAGCGGGACATCATCGCGCTGATGGAGGTGAAGATGAAGGAGATGAAGGCGACCATCCGCCAGCTGCGGGTCGCCGAGGCCAAGCTGCAGGAGGAGGTGCGCGAGCGGGACCGGCTGCTCTACGGGAACTCCGTGGCCTTAAGCGTCCGCAAGAAAATCTGAAGGGTGCATATCACCGGAGAGGACCCGTTACAGAGACAGACTAACGGATATGACACCGATCCAACCCTATTTTGTATAAAACTACGAGCGATGACAATTTATTTTCGAGAGGTAGAGCTAACTTTTCGTAGGCCTGTGTTGAAAAAGTTGACAGGCTAGTTCATAGGCTAGCTTATATTAAAAACATGCACAGTGCACTATTGGCCGGTTCCCTGCAGGATCAATATTACATATGTTGTTCAATCAAACAAGAATCATAGTATGCACAGACTGACAAGAGAGCAGGATTATACATGTGTGACGTGACAGATGAGGAGGATGCTCTCAACTGTCTAGTTATGTAGAACGTTTTTCTTTTAAAAAGTTATTTCCTTACTTGAGATTTTGAATTAGGAGCTTGTAGCAGAAACATCTAGTAGATTTGCAGAGGTAAACTATGCCAAGATTGCGCATCTATAGGATTTTCTGTATACAAAACACTATTCTTGGCACACTTGGGTGTTAGTCAATGAAGTACAGCTCTACCATGACTTTGTCTGAGTTGCCTTTAAAGATAGCTTAAGATGCTTTCCCTTGATATGTGTTGAAATAAGACATTTGATCATCAAGGAACAGACTTTAAGGAATTATTTCAAACTTGAAGGCACTCAAACAATGTAATCTTATTAAATTATGTTTCTTGAAGACATGCATTAAGTTACATTTGCTCAACGTTTTGTTTTTAAGGAAGTGAAGTACAAAGAAAAACATTTTCTCAACATACTTTATGCAACTTGAACATGTTAATGTCTGCGCCCAAGGTTATTCTGAAGCAGCTCCTGCTTATGTCAGTGTGGTTCATGTGTGTGATGTTTTTCACGCAGGAGTTTAGTGGCTGCATTTCTTTCATACATGTATTATGCACAGGATGTTACCTACATTTCAGATTGTTGAACTTAGTTCACAGCTATAGGCTCTGCTCCTTTTTTGATGTACATTTCATTTTAAAATAACGTTGATTCACATTGAATATTTTGTCCAGGCAGCGTCCCAGTAACACTTTCTTTCACCTTCAAGTGGGGAAGGTTTAAGCTCTCAGACAGCTGTTCGAGGCTCTTGTTGGACTCTTTTTAGGAAAGAAGAGATACACAAATAATATTTTACTATAATACAATACTTTCAGCACTGTTAAGAAGTCATACCATTTTCATCATATTTGATACACCCTAAATCACATCATAGACTTATGAAGGGAAGGGAATCAAACTTGAACAAAAAAACATCATCATAAATCCTTTAAAAAGTCATTGTGTTTCAAAAGATTTCTGATATTGTGTTGTTAATCTGAGCTAATCATTTCAGCGAGTGTACCACTACAGAGTATGGTATTACATTACATGTTACTTGTTAGACGCTTTTATCCAAAGCGAGTGTTACATACTCAATACTGTGGGCAATCCCCACAGGAGCAATTTGGGGTGAAGTGTCTTGCCCAGGGACACAACGACATGCTGACTGCACCTATGACCTCCTGATCCGAATACCAACTCACAACCCACTGCACCACACGCCACATGGTATAAACCATTGTTATTGTTTTGACATTTCATAGTTTTGTAGCAGATCTGACTTACTGTAGAGTCTTGTGGTGCGATGTGTCACATGTTGCAGAGTGATTTCCACCCTCTAGATGGCGGTGACATTAAACTGAGGAGCGGGAGGTTTAGCGCTGCTCTATGGCCTAATTTGCTTCATCTGTCTGTGTGTCGACGGCTTGGATGGTCCTTTGCTTGATTGTTACTCATATTAAAAAATGAAACATCTTAATGTGATTGTAAAACTGTTCTTCAGTTAGGCTACTTCACCTAAACTTGAAACGTGTCCTTTGAACCCGTGCTGTGTGTCGCAGGAAAACCGAGAGAGAGGAATAGGGATGAATGAACAGACAGCATCGGAGAGAGCGAGGATCCTAATCTCATCTGGATTTCTTTTTTTTTTTACTCCCCACAGTGTTGCATAATGCCTTAATCCATCGCTGTCGATCACATTGACTCAACTGTGTCTCTCTTTTAGGCTGCTGCCATTTAACCAAGCTGTCTTTACATTTAGGCCAAGCAACAGCTTCTCGTGTCAGATTTAGTTGTCGTTTCAGCGTAATTGTGTAATGTGAATGAAGTAAACAAGTGTAATATGTAATCTTTAAAATCCAGTGTGTGACACCACACTATACACACAGTATATCCGTGCCTGCTCAAACGGTGGCCATTACATCAAATCCCTTTAATTAATATTGCTGACCGAAATATATTTGTCTGCTTTTCATAGGAACAGCATTGATTAGTCAACTCATTATGATTGACAGAAACAAAAAATGCAGACTATTTTGACCAATTAGTCGTCTTGCCTATTTTTCATGCGAAATGCTCCGAATAGCCTCAAATACGGAGATTTCCTGCTTTTCTCTGTTCTATATCCAATTATCTGAACACCTGCAGAATTATTTTCTAAATACTCTTTCAATTGAGGGATTGTCTGCTGATAAAACCTTCTCTTTTGCTATTTTATAGGTAATAAAAAGCTTAATTAGGAAGACATCTCTTTAAAAAAACTTTTATTGGTTACGAGAAACTATTAAAACAAGTCAAGAAAATAGTGTTCACTTGATTGAAGATAATAATGTTGATACTGCCGATTCTATCATAAATCGCCTACAAAAATAAATGTTATATACTTTACAGGAAGTGAATTATGGGTTAACTACTGTGACATATCAAGCAGTTATCACACAACCATGTTTTTTGGGAAACGACCCTTATAGGCTCCACTCTTCTTGGCTTATCAAAAGGTAAGACTGGAAATAATACATTAGGTTTAATGTATTAGGGCTGGGCAATTATCCTATATGATAATATAAATTATTTCAATAGAGTTGTGTCGTTATGAAATCTTGTATCAAGATATCGACAACAATTGAATCAACAACCTGTCTCTTTTTATACTTCCCAGTAATTTGACATGCTTGAATGTAGGTTGACTTGTAATGATTTCACTTTACTGTACTATTGCTTAGTTCCCTTTTATATAAATGTATCTTAAATAATCATCTATATGAAATGAAATCCAAAGTTACAGACACACTGTATACAAAAATATTTTACTCACAAGAAAATCAATAAGGCTTTGCAACCCCCAGTTGTGAACTACTGCACAAAACTAGGAGGCCAGGGGAGTCAGGACGCCCATAATCACCAACAAACTACAAAAGCCCTCATGGCTGAAATAGCTTAAAATAATAAATGTGATGAATGACTCTATATTTCACACACACTTCACATCAGGCTTGATTGGTCCTGAGCATCTTCTGCAAAAGGTAATAATGTTAAAAGAGCAGATGTTTTCAGCTGTAATACCAAACTCTCTACTTGAGGTATTGATTCTGGGCAGCGGCTTCAGATACAGATGGATTATTTTGTAGTTAATGGTTGTTTTAAACCGCAGATTAACAATGGGTTACCATTCCTCCTGTGTCAGTGTACAGATGTGAACAGGGGCTTATACTAATTCACGTAGTGGAAGCCATCTGGGGGGGCGTATGGGGATTTGGAGGCTGAGAAGAAGAGGAGGGGGATATAAGATGGACGCTCAAATTGGGAAAAAGGCAAGTGTATTTTTATAAAAAAACAGGACAATAAATAGTATCTGCCCAATCTTTTTTTCAGAGTGAATAACATGTAGATACAACATATGCTCTTCAATAACCCCCCCATGACCCACATGGCTGTGGGTGAGACTCTCACTTGGGATGCTGCTATTCTCAGAGGTGGCTCTGGACTGTTGGACTCCCAGGTGAGCTGGATTCTCTTATCCTCTGTGGGACGTCCTCCATCTGTCCACATGAAACACTAAATCCTGCTGACACTTCTGATCATGTTCCCTGTTAATGTCATTTGTGATAAACACATTTTTCAATAGTGCAGTCAGATCTTTGCAGCACGTAAATGTGTGTTAACAAATGAGCGATTGGTAATACAGTTTATAATTCATTTGTGTTTCAAATAAATGTTCTAAATACTAAAGACCGGAAATGAGAACACTTTAATCCAGTCTGCTGTGAGGGATGCCGTCATTGGTCGGCTGCCTGCAAGCTTTCGCCTTGTGCCCCTCCCCACACACACATGCACACACACACACACACACACACACACACACACACACACACACACACACACACACACACACACCACACACACACACACACACACACACACACACACACACACACACACACACACACACACACACACACACACACACACACACACAGCATCCTCTTACTCTCTGTGATGCAGCGTTCCCATTCACTGTTAATCCAGTCTGGTTGTGGCTCTGTGCTTTACTTTTAAAATCTAATAATTTATGAACAGATGGAAGTACTCGTCCCTTTTTAAATCAGATACTTTGGGGAGCTTCTCATCAGAGGCTCGGGTTCAGAGGTGGATCTCAGATTCACAGGACTCGTGGAAGGGAAGATGAAGAAGTCCCAACGAGGCACAGCGACTATGCTGCTGCCCATCGCTCTCTGCCTCAGTAAGGATGGTTCTTTAAATTCTCTCTGACTGTGTGATGTGCATTTAAGTCTTTACGTTTTAAAGTGCTAAGTTGGCTTTTGCCTGTCTTTTTTCGGGCACTTATACTATATCAATGATGTGTCTGTTTGTGCCCCAATGCGTAGAAGGGATTTCAGCAGGTTTGTCAGAAAAAGCCCTAAGTATTTACAGAAAAACTCATTTACTTAGCTTGTTCTAAAATTGATAAGCGATGGGTTTACTAATGCACTTACCTTAATGAAATACTCACTGTCCCTCATGTACTGATTCTCTCTCATCCTCTGTGTGTGTGTGTGTGTGTGTGTGTGTGTGTGTGTGTGTGTGTGTGTGTGTGTGTGTGTGTGTATGTATGTATTTGGTGTACAAAATCATATATTTAGGTGTGAATTCTGTTATTTTTGAGGGTATTTTGAGGTTTTTACTCCTCTCAGGAAGTTTGTTGTAAAACACACATGTGATGGCTTATGTAGAAAAAACATACTGTGGATTCTATGGTTGTAGAATTTGGATCAATGACTTTGGAAAATGCAAGACTAACAAAATGTTTGCAGTAAAATCATGATGAGCATTATTGTGGGATGAATAGTAAACTAGAAATCATGACACACTTCACACAAATTAAAGCAGGCAAATACAACAAGATAAAAAAATACATAACTAATGTTCATTCAGGCGTGAATAATGAAAGTATTATCTTATCTGTCTGAGCCGTAGACAGGAGTCAGCTATTGGTCAATCTAAAGCTTCAGCGGATGAAATAACACACCTGATGCTTCAGACTCTCAAGTGACACTTAGGAGAGATATTCAATCCTTAGGTATTGGTATTGTTGACGAATAAAGGTCTGAACAGATTTAGTGATATCGATGAATTAATGTCTGTCTTCGCCAATAGCTTAGGATTCATAAAGAAATCAAAATCCTTGGTTTGATGTAAGGTCAAAAAGATCTTGTTTTGTAAGTTCATAATTTTAAGATATTCAGTTTAATATTATAAATCAGAGAAAAGCAGGAAATCTCCATATTCTAGAGATTATGAATTGGTCAACTAATAGAGTGTGAATGTGAGTGTGTCAATCAATAGATATCTTCCTGTGAGGTTACGCTCAAATGTCCTCTGCATATCAATTCAAACATAGATTCACAACTTTTCTAAGGAAGATTGTGATGACTCAAACTAGTCTCAGCGTGTTATGTATGAGTTGATCGATCAGACAGCTCCTGCACTGAATTTGGCTTTGAGGTTGTATAATCCCTCCAGATGAATGGAAATCAACATATTTCTGTATTTGTTTGATCCCTCTGAGCACCAGATGGATCATTTCTCTATAAAGATAAACATTGTGTTTCACATCACAAGATGAAATCCCTGAACCAAACAATCTCTCATCTCTAAACACATCTATTTCTGTATACTCATGTTATATTGTCTGGCAGTGGCTCAGTCAGTACAGTACACAGCTTGGACTGTGAGCCGTAGGGTCGCCGGTTCAAGTCCCCGACCAGACCTAAATATGGAGTGTGGACTGCTACTTGGAGAGGTCCCAGTTCACCTCCTGCCCTGCCGTGGTGCCCTTGAGCAAGGCACCGGACACCCCCCTTCCCCCCTCACTCCCATTGCTCCCCGGGCGCTGTACAATAGCTGCCCAGGAGTCTAGACCAGGAGTCTAGTACTAGGAGCAGTGGCTCCTAGTACTAGACTCCTGGTACTATGGGTTAAAAGCAGAGAACACATTTCACTGTGTGTGCTGTGTGCTCTGCACGTGTGACCATTAAAGAGGGTTTCAACCCTCCCAATTATTCTTCTTCTCTCCATCAGGCCTGGTCCCTGTGAGTTTCGGAGCGGCAATTTCATGTGCTTCCATCTACAAGAGTTTCGCTCAGTGTTTACTTACACTTGGAGACAGTTTGGTGGAAACACAAAAAGACCAAAACACACAGGACATCGATGCAATCTGCAGGTGTGTATCTGTCCAGCACTTTGGTAACCATCCCCTGTCTGTCTTGAAACAACTTGTCTCAGATTGTTGAAGTTATTAAAGTTGCTCCAGTCTATTAATGAAATGTCTCAACAAATATTGGCTCTTTTGCAATGCAATATTTCAGCTGAACTTTATGTTTCTCACTGAAATGTGCTAATATGACAAACATACAACCTGCATAACGTCAGCATGTTAGCATTGTCAGTAAGAGAATGTTAGCATGCTGACGTAAGCATTCAGGTTATAGCACCAGGTACAGCCTCACAGAGCCAAATGGTCATAGATTGTTTAAAACCATGTTGTCTTCAGAGTTTGTGAGTTTTTGCAGTGACAAACTTACAGAGATTTATCATCTGACAGCGCTTCACAGGGTTACTAGGTGTTGATTTGGGTTTATGGCCGACACCTCAACTCTGTCTCCTACAAAATGACATTTACATACAGCTAAACTGTGTACAAAACTATGTTTAGGGGAAATGTTTCTCAGGTTTCATGTCCGGTGTCATCATTTCCTTTCATTATCTCTAATAAAAACATGCTTTGCTTTGGGCCTGTATTAATAAAACAAACCATTATCACCAGGAACCACAGGTGTTGTCAAATAAACATGGGCCAAAACGCTACATTATAACTTAAAAACGAGTTTGTTTTCTGTTGGATGTGGTTTGAATTGTGCTTTATTCTTACCACACCCAAAAGTCATGCATGTAATAAGTGTACACATACAGACATACTGTCTGAAAATGCTACATTCAACATTTCATTTTTAGTAATCTTGTTGATTATGTATAGTGCTTTTTACATACATAAGTGTCAAACAGAAGCTACCCCAGATTGAACAGCAACGTGAGGGGTTAATCCACTCAAACTCTGAAGAAGTGTTAAATATTTCTTAAACATTTGCTCAAATGGTAACTGTTTTATTGTACATGTTACCCTGCAGTCTTCACATTTCCGCTCTGATCTGCTCTGATCTCCTCCTTCCTCGAAGGTCCTGGAATGCGTTCCATGTGTGTGCCAACTCAGCTCTGGCCGGTTGCCCGGGAGACGCAGCAGCCGTCTGGGAGTCTCTAAGACAAGAGTCCAGGAAGACGCAGTTCTCCGGAAACCTCTACGACATGTGTGCTAGCCGCACCACCCTCCCACCCAGCACTGTGCCTGCAGCCCCGAGCCCCCCCACCTCCGACCAGACCAACAAGGAAACACTGAAAGGGCAAACCAACAGGAACAGCCCCCCCTTCAGCTCTCTGATGTTCCCTGTGTGCAGCACCTTGCTACTGCTGCTCAGGAGTTAGTTAAAAGAATACTTCACACAAGACATGATAAGTAGTTTAAAAAACTACTCACCCTTGGAACTTTGAATTCTTGGAAAAAACAATATGTTTCTTGCATGAAACAAAAACTGAGAAACATTTTTGATGAATTGAAGTGAATGCGGGCCATGGTTATGGAGTTTACAAAGCCTCAAACAACCCATGCAGTTTAATGAAGGTTCATTTATCCTGTCATATGCTCACTGCTTTCCAAACACATGCATTATTGCTATAATCTCATTATTTCAAACACTTTGGCGTAAACATGTTCACGCTTGTGCAGACATGCTACTGTTACGTGCAAGTCTGAAGTGTGTTTAATAGCCTGATCATTTTTGCAAAAAGTTAAGTTTTTTGGATTCTGTATTCACCTCGGAGAACTGTGAGAAATACAAAGCTTTCTTCCAGAATCCAAGGTAAAACTTGGTGAGTAATTGATTTTAAAACTATCATTTTGTTGGTGAAGTATTCTTTTAACTTATCTTTAATAAGGCAGCTGGTGGTCAGCGTCCTGCTCCCCCTGTAAAACAAAAAGAGTTCAATAACTGGATCAAACGAAATATCTGGTTCAGTTTTTTGTACCTGAAAAGGTGGAGCATTTATTTAGGCATTGAATAAATAACAATATGTTGAATTTATCACATGCTTTGCTCTTAGACCAAAAAGCTGACAAAAGGTTTATTTAATTCTGACATAAATATTAAAAGGAAGCATACTTGCAACTTAAATTATTGATAGTGATTAAATTCACATTATTGCTTGGTCATATTTTATAGGCTGGAGTGACAAACCTTTGATTTAGGGAAGGCAGAAGAGGACGTCCTACTCACTGAAAATACTTAGCTGAAAGACTAATCTCAGTTATGTTACATTTATGATATACTAATGGTTGTAAACCCTTTATTTCTACCACTTCTGCAGTACATCAGAAATACAGCCTGATTTTTTAGGACAAAGGAGATTTTAAGGGACGCCAGGTGTTCAGACTGTGATCCAATCAGGTGTGATCTAGAGCAGAGTATTATTGCAGGGTGCAAACATTTGTTATTGTGCAGCTTAATTCATCCCCCTGTCTGACCTGTTTAATATCAGAACATAATACTGTCTTTGGTGGCATCCTTTGCAGTGTGCACATGATGTTGCAAAAATATTGTCAGTTGTTTAAACTGTATCATTTCCTTTGACCTGTTCAGTGGTTTTCCTTATTTCAGGTATGTGTTGCTTTTCTATTCTGAACAGCTGCATTCAGTAAGGTTGACTTCAAGACCTCTATATGGGGGGTGGGGGGGGGAATAACAAAGAAAGACACACAGGACATGACAACGGTGATGTAAAAAGGGAGTTTATTTCCCAAGTTTCATCCGTATAACATTAACAGTTGCTGTAATGTTAATTAATGCTGTTGTTTTTCTTTGATACTGAGCTGTAATGCAATCACAGACTGCAATGTATTTACTGGTTTTCACATTACCAATGTATTTATTGTGTTCATTTGCATTTTTTTTCCACTGCAGTAAAGAGTGGTACATGCCTTTTTGTTTCACTCTGATTTCAACCCAACAAACGCTTAAATTAAAGATGTTCTGTATTCTGACACACAACGCAGTTATTTTCCTTACATCGCGACTGTTTTCTTTTCTTGAAGACATGGGTTTTGTGTCAGCTGCGTGTGTGTTTGTGTGTATGTTTGTGTGTGTGTGTTTGTAATCTGAATTCTCTTAATCTGTTTCATAACAGCAGAATCATGAGTAGATTAATCTCATCTGTCTTTATTCGTCACAGTGGAGCAGGTTGCTCCTCGAAACCCTTGAAAACAGTCTTATTGTCCTCAGAGCACGCAACGCAAACACTGCAAATGAGAAGTGATGAGGATTGGTTTTGTGGTGTTTTGCCTTGTCAGCATTGTATGAACGAAGTTTAACTCAAACATGACATAAGCAAGTATGACATCTAAATGTTAGAGGTGGTATCTTCATTACTGCAGCATGCTGAATTTAAGGAGTTATTAGCGGTCACTGAAACCTCAAGTGGACCTCCTGCTTTATATTCTGCTATATATTCACATGGCACTGATTAAATGCAACCATGCAGCACCTTTAACCCAAGTTTCACAGGTTTAATGGCTTATTTAAATAATGCTGCTTCATACAGTTCCCAGCTTATGATTCCAGTTGCATTTTGCACAGACTTGCATGACGTACATGATTATATTATTTTATAAATCTGAATAATCAGACTGCGTGTTTAAAGGTCTCGGACTCAGTATATATTTTTTGCTAACAGGCTACATAAAAAACAGATTATAACCCTGATTTGGTCATGACGACAAAGCGTGGCAGGTCACCGTGGACAGAGAGGATTCATAAAGTCTTACTCTTGCAGTGGTTTTATGCATATTTTAAACAGGAGGTTTTTTTTACAAATGGATTATGAACAACAATATCAATTATACATGTAATATAATTTAAAATGGAAAATGCTTTATAAAAACAAAAGTCCTGATATATTTTTGGGAACAGCACATGCCTATGGTATACAATAACACCTTTGGACTGTCCCCATAACACTTCTGCTCTCTCTAAATCTGCAAAATCACCATGACATCATTTTGAAGGTGCCTCAAAGCGCTCACATTTTGGGAACAGCTGTTCAAAAAGATACAGTTAGTTAAAGTTCATTTTTCTTTGGAAAGTTCCTCCTGATGTAGAGCAATGTTCATGAATAGGACCGATGCCCTCTGCTCTGTGACAGATGGTGTGTAGCATGAATCATGAATGGATTATGAATTACATGTGTAGTAGATTGTTCCATATGACCGGGACTTTGTTTAAACAGTGTAAACTGCACTGCACACCAAATCTACATTCATGATTCTGTTAATACAAAAATGTGATATATAACATACATAAATGAAAAGTAAATAGTGGCCAATCTCTTTGGTGATTACATTCAGATTGACAACAAAGTCGAGTAAATGGAGGACATTCGAGTCATGTGGTTTACCTCTTAATGAAACTGTGCAGGATTTCCCGGAGGAAAAAAACAACAATATATAGACTTTATGCAAAGTAATCCTTCTCAATCATCAGTCTCGACTCGACCCACTATGTGCAGTAGTAGAAGCAGTAGTAGAAGTGTGTGCAGGTGTCTGTATTTGCAGAGACACAGAAACCCCCCCGCCTGTATTTTCCCTTTTTTTGCTTCATTCATGGTTTTATTTAGAGGAGGTCCACTGATGGGTTTATTTGTAGGAAAAACAATGTGTATTTTGAACACAGTACATGTATGGACAAAATGAGTAAACAAATAAAAGTAATCATAAGAAAACAACACAATTACCTTTATCTGTAGGCTTCTTCTTCAGAGACAGACACAACTTAAAAGAGAGAGCCATGGAGAGAGACAGAGAAAACACAAGCAAACATACTCACTTTAGTGATATATGTGTCACCTCAGAGTGAAATGTTTGTCAAAATGTCCAATTAGACCATGTGAGTCGCGTGTGCTCGTGGGTGCAGGCTATATATCTGCAGGGTTTCCCTCTCAGCAGGTTCAAACTCTCAGAAGCATGAAGCGGACACCTGGACTGCTCTAGAAGGGTTAGTTTTGTCAGAAATCGTTCTTGAGAAGTATCAGTTATATAGGGTTAAAGCTTCGCTCAGGATCATGGAGGAACTGGCCCGAGAGAGCATCAACCTGCTGGCCCGCTCTGCGTCTCATTCGGGCCCCCCGCGGCTCGGTTCATTCGGTGCTGTGTTCATCATGCTGAAGTCTGCGCTGGGTGCCGGACTGCTCAACTTCCCCTGGGCTTTCCAGAAGGCAGGGGGAGTGAATACTGCTCTCAGTGTGGAGCTGGTGAGGATCACACACCTGCAATATTAGCTGTTTATAGTACATATAGTGCAAGTGCAGAAAATGTTAAAAAATACAATACATTAAAATAGAATTGTTGATGGCTTGAACTGCAAATCCCTTCATTGTATTTCCATAACATATATAGAGACATTTGAGGGCTTAGTTTTTCTGTTAGCCTGCTGACTGTATATGTATGTACTCACCACTACTCAGTCACTCCCTGGTGTGAAAGAGGCTCATCTATTTCACAGGTGAACTCTAATGAGCTTCCAGTTAAAGGAGGGCCTGAACATTCATTGCACTATAGCAACAAATGTGTGTGCATACACATGTTTGTATTACTCATGTTGTGAAGTAACAAATGTGTGTGTGTGTGTGTGTGTGTGTGTGTGTGTGTGTGTGTGTGTGTGTGTGTGTGTGTGTGTGTGTGTGTGTGTGTGTGTGTGTGTAGATTTCACATTTCAACTTTCCAGGAACAAGCTATGAGGTCATAAGGAGCCTCTGATTGCTCTTGATCTAAATTTGAGTCCTTTTCCACCTGTGTTTTTATTATATGAAACTACATGTTAAAACAGTTTGCATTCATTTAAACACAAGTTAGGAAGCCTACATTAAAATAGAATATATATGGATTGCATGTTTCATTTGTCGATCTGCTGCAGCAGAAAGCGTCAGTACTATTTGGATTATAAATTAAACATTTAAGTAATATATTTTTAAAGCAAAACATGATTTACCTCGTTTAATGTATGGACATATTAACTTGTTTGCTTGAACACATTTTCCTCCAACCTCGTGACATACAGATGCTTGCTCAGGACCCCTTTAGTGCCATATATTAATATGCAGGTTTGTCAGATAGACTTCAATATGTGATTAACATTGTGAATCTAAACAAAGATACTTGTTAAGGTTTAGGAAAAGATCATGACTTGGGTTTTAAAACGTTTTTTTTTTACGTGACTCGAAATCCATTGCATCCAAGTATGTGACTTGTGTGACATAAATGAACTTACACACAAAGGTTTGAATGGTCACGCTTCAGTCAAACAGCAGTCACTGTGGTTTTCGGCGTCACCTGACCTCATCCTCAACTCTTGTCATATATACTACCGCCTCTAGAGGCAGCTCTGTACATGCCCAACAGACATCAGAGAGACTTGTGGAGTGTCTCAGTTTGATGTGTATGGTCTATGAACAAGGTGCTGTAGTTGATGTGATGGGAGCGAGAACACGCTTGGACTATGACAAACTATGGACCAAAGTCTCAATCAATATATCTATAAATGAAAATTGATTATAAGGCTTCTTACCCGTATAAAAATAAAAATACAGTCTCTTGATCTCCAGTGTGAACCACAACTTGACATTCAGGTGCATTTTGAACCAATATCACAATACAGGTACACATCAAAGAATCTGAAATAACAGCAAGTAAAACATGTCTGTTCTGAAGAGAGGATGGAGATTCTTTCTTTCAGGAGTGTCTTTTCACAGGCCTGAGTCTGGAGCCCAATTGCCTAATGATCTGTCCATGGTGTGTGTTTGTGTGTGTGACGTGCAGGTTTCCCTGGTCTTCCTCATCAGTGGTCTGATCATCCTCGGCTATGCCTCCTCAGTCAGCAGACAGAACACGTACCAGGACGTGGTGAGGGAGGTGTGTGGAGGAGCGGTGGGGCAACTCTGTGAAATCTGTTTCTGCTTCAACCTCTTCATGATATGTGTGGCCTTCCTGGTGGTGGTGCAGGACCAGCTGGAGAAGTGTAAGTGCTCAATGAACTTATCTTTCAAGATGCAGCTTCTCCTACTTACAAACAGACCACTTGTAACTAAAACAATTGATACAAATATGAAAAATACTTGTTGTAATCTGCACTATTTTATTCTGATCTATTCTACTCTGTTTCTTTTGGCACTTTAAAAAAAAAAATATTTGTATTGTTTTATATCCTATATATAATTTAGTTTGCCTTGTTTCATTGCCATATTTACACTACTACTGTGCAGATGACAATAAAGCTTTTGAATCTTAAATCTTAGCACAGGTTTTTTAAATATTTTATCAGGAGTTTGCTATCAATTTAGCAGCCATTTCCTATATCAAAAAAGTAATCTCTCAGACCACACATTTTTTTCATTTCCCCTTTGTCGTGTTGTCCATCTGAAATGCTTCAAATCTCTTTAATGTTTTTACTCTGTTAAAAATGTAAACAGATTTGATTTACAAACACACCCCCTTCAAAAAAAATCTATTGGATCATACATTGTGCACAAAGCACAGTACAGATGGAGCATTTTAGTGAGATATCCTCGAGGACAACGTGCTTTAAAGTCATCATGTTCATCCACCATTGTTAAAGCATGAATAGCAGCCATTAAAACAACATAAAGACTGATAAGTATGTCAAATCAATTATTTGGTGAGCATGAAAACTGTATTATATCTATATTATTCATTTATCGTTGCAGCAGATAAATAATGGTTAAAATGTTATTCTTCTTCCAGTGAGTGTTTCTTTATACGAGACGGTGACTGGGTCCACTGAGATGCCGTACCACTGGTACACCGACCAGCGGTTTTATCTCTTCATCATGTGTGTCATCATCATCCTCCCCTTGTCCATCCCAAAAGAAATCGGCATCCAGAAATACACAAGGTAAATGACACTTATCATGGATCAGAATGAGATAGAGTGCACATTTGTGTGTGGCTTAACAGTGTTTTCTTTGTGTCAGTGTGTTGGGGACGCTGGCGGCAACATATCTGTGTGTGGCAGTGATCGTCAAGTATTACCTGATGGAGAGCCACAATGTTATAATAACTCCAGAGCACAGCGAAGGGTCAGTAACACTGTTTGTAATGGATACGTGTGTGTTTAACTTTTTTTTCTCATTCTATGCAGTGTGTGTGCATCTGTAAATTTGAGTGTGTGTGTTTGTGTTTTCAGTGTGGGTTCGTGGGCTTCAATGTTCAGTGTCGTGCCGACCATCTGCTTTGGCTTCCAGGTAGGATCAACTTCATGCTTTTAAGTCTAAAGGTAGACAGCCTGATGCTAGACATTTAAGTGGTTTAATGTGGACCTAACTTTGTCCAAACCAACCAGCAATAACAGACAACTAAAAAGCACGTGGAGCATGAAGAAATGATGAACTATTGTAGTGATTTGTCTGAATGCCCAATGTGTCTTTGTGTGTGTCTGCAGTGCCATGAAGCCTGTATTGCCATCTACAGCAGCATGGAGAACAAGAAGCTCTTAAACTGGGTCATCATCTCAGTGGTCTCCATGTTTTTCTGTTTACTCATTTACACTCTCACTGGTGAGTTCAACTCTAAAGCAACTCTATTGACCTCAGTTTATTTGTGCTTCCCTGAAAACTGCTCTTCACCTCCCCTTTCTCCAGGTGTGTACGGCTTCATGACGTTTGGACGAGCGGTTGCCTCCGATATTTTGATGTCATATCCAGGAAATGACGTGCCCATGATCATATCCAGGCTACTTTTTGGAATATCAATCATCACCATCTATCCTATTATTCTTCTCCTGGGGAGGTGAGCAACAGCAGAGTTGAGACTGTCTTACAAATCAACTTTGGAAAATACCAGGGAAATCATCTCCACACGTTGTAGTCATTTTCTTGACTTTGACACTTGTTGCACACAACAGGAGATTGACCGTATCTCAACCCTTATCACTTACTGAAAATACTCTTTTTGGTTCAGGCGAGTGGTAGCTTTGGGTTGAGTGTGTAGAAGCATGACATGACGTTGATTACACAGCTCAGTTTTCATACTGAACTTTCCTCCCAAGTTCCCAGATCTAGTTTGAACCCCAGTTACACGTTTTCATTGCCATGCTATTTCTTGTAAATTAACCTTCTTTTTGATCCAGACAATGGGTTTCTCTATTCACATAACATTATCTTTGTATTAGGCGACAGGCAGGGTAAAGTCTGCTCCAGAAGACATTTGGACATTGGTATTCTCACAGCTCCTCAGGTTTGCAGGGCATGTGTGAAAGGGGATTTCGTTTTTTGCATAGTACAACTCGTGTATGTATTTTAAAAGTGAACATGTTGTCCTACTGTGTGTGTTGTATGTGTGTGTGTGTTTTCGTGTGTGTGTGTGTGCAACAGATCTGTCATCCTGAACCTGATGGTGCGTATTCAAAGACGTCGCTGGGGAGTCGTCACCCATTCGTTTGAGACTCGCTGCAGAGTGGTTCTCACTGTGATCTGGATCACCGTCACTCTTCTCATCGCCATGTTCGTCCCCGACATGGGGGAGGTCATCAGTGTCATCGGGGGAATCAGCGCCTTCTTCATCTTCATCTTTCCTGGTATGTAACAATGTCTCCTTTAAATTAAGTGTCTGTGTTTGTACTCACACAATGTGCAATGTATGGCTTTTATGTTCATACATGTTGTTCTATATTATTTGTGTGTTGCAGGTCTTTGCTTAGTGTTCACAATGCAAAGTGAACCTGTGAGTCCAAGAGTCAGGTGAGTGATTATTTACACACTCGTACTCTATGTGTATAACATTATTATTGAAATGCGTTATTTGACATATCATAGGGAAACAAATCTGGTGTTTAACTGATCTTCCAATTATTTCATTTCAACTGTTTAACTGCTAGTGTAACGAGTATAATTGCAAGTATTTAAACAAAAAAAAGTGTGATATTTACTTGTGTCTTAGTGGAGATTTAATTCCTAGGAAATGTCTATGTTTCTAATGATTACAATTAAATTACTTTTTCCAAGGAACATTTCTAGGAAATGTTATGAGAATAGGAATAATACTTTTTTTATATTTGGATGCTGGTCATGGAAACATGATGAAGATTGTCACATCCTGCAGTGCAAAATATACAAAAGTCATTTATCCATCCAACCAGTGATCACTATTTAGTTAAAAAGTCCTTCTTATAGAGTCTGAACTGCGTCGTATCCTAAGAAAGAAAGAGCAGTGTTTTTTGTTTTTTTTGTGTAATCAGATGGATTTTCTTTTAGAACATTAAGGCTTCTACGGGCATTTTCGTCTACAAATTGTATCAATCTTGTTATAAAATGTGGATATTTGAATAATGGAAAAGAGAATGAATCATTATGAATTACCGCCAAGCAGAAGATTCATACTGTTTCCATGATTTTAAGTCATCTGTCATGTTGTTTATCTGGATGTCCCTGATTCTGTTTTGTTTCTGCAGGGTGATTTTAACAGTCTGGGGAGTTATAACCATCGTAGTTGGATCTTTCATCTTCGGACAGAGCACGACCATCGCTATAATGGAGATTTACCAGAAATTCTGATTTTCACACCTTTATCTCCACTTCACTGTCTGCAGCAGCTGCTTCACTTTGACTTCACAATGTGTTTTGCACAACTTAAAGTTGCATTTGTAAAGGTGGTTTATAATTGTATATATGATCCTTATCAAGGTCTTCCATGACCTGGTTATAATATAATATATATTTACAAAGCAATAATGTAATATTTCTATCTGTGTGTGTGTGTTACAGACATATTGGATTTAAATGGGTTGTTATTGGACAACAATATAATGTCAAGAGAAGAATGTAGGTATTAATTGTAAAGTATGTGTGGCTGTTTTAATGATTTATTTAGGATTACATTACCACCCCTATTGTATAGAATATTAAATAAGAAAATACAAAGTGTCTTTATTTGTAGTTGTGCTATCCTGCTAGGGGGCAGTATTGTACAACTGATGCATATTTATTTATCTGCGTAGTCACTCATTCATGTGTGTGTGTGTAACTGCATATTGGAAACCCAGATAAGAGAAACTGAGTTCCTATCATTATTAAAATGGTGCCGGGATCATTTTTGACACGAGAGTGCTATACACACAATATTCAGTTTTTATGTAGACAGGTGGATTTTATGCCCTTGAAATTCCTGTTTGCATCGACCAGATAATATCATGAGTTTATCATATTAACATTTTTTTGTTTCAACAACACAATTCTTATCCTTCCTCTGCATTTCTCCACTTTCTGACCTCCACATGGCCTGAATCCTCTGAGTGATACCAATCTGCAGCTTTCATTGAGCTCAGATTGATGGCCGAGGTATGCTGAATATCACTGTTTATTGTTTATTGACTTCAAGCTTTCAAGAGTTATGGCATGCTGCCCGTGAGCGTGCACATGCTCACAGATGTGTGTTAGTGTATGAGTGAGTAATGATTTACAGTAAATCGAGAAAAAGGCTCTGTATCTGTGCCTGCATGGGGGGGGTCTGCTCAAAAGCTGCGATAATGACTTCACATACTTATCTTTCTGAACACACACAGGGTAATAACTTAATGCAAAAATAGACCATCTGGAAACACATAGCAGCTCTTTTGAGACACTTCAGCTGCGTTTGTGACATCTCATGCAAAGTTAATGTCCTTAGGGGAGAACCTAAAACTGTGATACTCTACTTATGTTTAGCCCATGGGATTATATTTCTAACCTGACGGCCAAATGACTAAATCCACTAAATGGAGAAAAAGAAATCCTTGAAACCACACAAACTCTTTCTTGAATCCTGCAGCTTCACTCTATGTCGACTGCACACAGACTTGTGAATGCAACTCAGCAGTCCTGGGAATTAAAACTAACATCTACCAGGATTTAAAACACTGCTCTGTTCTCTGCAGATACGGAAACATGGCCTACTACCTGGACCTAAATCAAGACACTAAAAATAAAAGCTTCAGCTAAATGTAATGTAATTGTCTAATTAGCATTAAACAGTACAGCTGAGGCTGATGGGAATGTCATTAGTAGCACTGCAACGATTATCATCAATTCATCTATAACGATTGAATCAACAGGAAATGGACAACTTTTTTGATAGTAGATTAATTCTTTGAGTACATTTTCCAGTAAAAAGGGCAGAAAATGCCACTGTTTTCATCAAATATGGAGATTTCCTGATTTCTCTGTTTTAAACCATCTTCAACTAAATGTCTTTGGGTTTTGGACTGACTCAACAGAAAGACATAACTCTGGATTTTGAGAAAATGGGACGGAGATTTTTGACTATTTTATGACAAGATGCTATGGTATCATATTTTATAGACCGAATGATCAATCTTAAAGACAATCAGCATAAGGATATGGCGTTCCACTAAACTTGAAGAATCTCATTTAATTTGGCATATTACTCTCAATGAATATAAGAAAGCACTGCGTAAAGCGAGAGCAGCTTACTACTCTTCATTAATAGATGAGAATAAGAATAATGCAAGATTTCTTTTCAACACTGTAGCCAGGCTGACAGAGAGCCATAGCTCGATTGAGCCTTCGATTCCCATAGCACTCAGTAGTAATGATTTTATGTGCTTTTTTAACGATAAAATTGTTACTCTTAGAAACAAAATTAATGACCTCTTGCCTTTGACCAGTATAGTGTTATCAACAGCTCCCGGAAAGAATGCTTTTCAGCCATTAACCTTGAACAATTAAATTCAATGATTCTCTCTTCTAAACCATCAACGTGTATGTTAGACCCAATTCCAACTAAGCTGTTGAAGGAAGTTTTTCCATTAATTAGCACTTCTTTATTAAATATTTTGAATATGTATTTATTATCAGGCTATGTTCCACAATCATTCAAAGTAGCAGTGATAAAACCGCTTCTTAAAAAGCACAACCTCGATCCAGAGGTTTTAGCCAATTATAGACCTATTTCTAATCTTCCGTTCCTCTCAAAAATTCTTGAGAAAGCGGTCGCAAAACAGCTGTGTGATTACTTAAAAAACAATGATTTATTTGAAGATTTTCAGTCTGGCTTTAGAACACATCATAGCACAGAGACAGCTCTGGTTAAAGTCACAAATGACATTCTAATAGCCTCTGACAAGGGACTTGTCTCTATTCTTGTTTTGCTCGATCTCAGTGCTGCATTTGATACTATCGGCCATGATATCCTATTGCAAAGACTAGAGCACTTAGTTGGCATACAGGGAACTGCTTTAGGCTGGTTTAGGTCCTATCTATCTGAACGCTCTCAGTTTGTACGTGTTAACGATGAATCTTCCACGCCAACCAAAGTTAGCCATGGAGTGCCACAGGGCTCAGTGCTCGGACCTATTTTGTTCACATTATATATGCTTCCGGCAATATTATAAGGAATCATTCTGTACATTTGCATTGTTATGCGGATGATACTCAACTATATTTATCAATCAAGCCTGATGAAATTAATCATCTAAATAAAATTCAAGACTGCCTCAAGGACTTAAAAACGTGGATGACCTTAAACTTTTTGATGTTAAACACGACCAAAACTGAAGTTATTGTACTCGGCCCGAAGAATCTACGAAACAAATTATCTAAAGATATACTAACTATGGATGGCATTAATTTGGCCTCCAGTGAGACTGTAAGGAATCTTGGTGTTATATTTGATCAGGATTTATCCTTTAACGCCCACATAAAATCAATTTCAAGGACCGCCTACTTCCATCTACGTAACATTGCAAAAATCAGGCATATCTTGCCTCAAAACGATGCAGAGAAACTAGTCCATGCATTTGTTACTTCAAGGCTGGATTATTGTAACTCTTTATTATCAGGGTGTACCAAGAAGTCAGTCAAGTCGCTTCAGCTGATTCAAAATGCTGCAGCTCGTGTACTAACCAGAGTTAGGAAAAGGGACCACATTACTCCTGTTCTGGCTGCCTTACACTGGCTCCCTATAGAACACAGGATAGAATTTTAAATTCTTCTTCTCGCCTACAAAGCCCTTAATGGGCAGGCACCATCTTACCTTAAAGAACTCATTATACCCTACTGTCCTATTAGGGCATTGCGTTCCAAGAATGCAGGGTTGTTGGTTGTTCCTAGAGTCTCTAAAAGTACAATGGGAGCCAGAGCCTTTTCTTATCAAGCTCCACATTTGTGGAATCAGCTTCCAGTATGTGTTCGGGCGGCAGACACCCTATCCGTTTTTAAGAGTGCGCTTAAGACCTTCCTTTTTGATAAAGCTTATAGTTAGGGCTGATTAGATTCAGCCCCTAGTTTAGCTGATATAGGCTTAGTTTGTCGGGGGACATCTTACTTCTTCCTTCTCTCTGTCTGTACCTGTGTACTCTCATGTTCCGATTAACCCAGCTTCCCCAAATTTCTTTCTTTTTGGTGTCTATATACGCTGGGATCCGGAGTCATGGATGATCCTGCGCTCCTGTGTCCTGCATCGCGAGCCCTGGATCTTGAATCGTGGCTGTGGTCCTGGATCATAGGTCCTGGATGGATATCCCCGTGGATTCATCTTCCTATTATACACACACGTATTTCCAAATATTTGGACTACCTATGTTGCAAATGTATTATCTTTTCAATTTACACACAGCATCTATTGCACGTCTGTCCGTCCTGGGAGAGGGATCCCTCCTCTGTTGCTCTCCCTGAGGTTTCTCCCATTTTTCCCTTTAAACTGTGGGTTTTCTTCGGAAGTTTTTCCTTGTACGATGTGAGGGTCTAAGGACAGAGGGTGTCGTATTGTCATACTGATATTTTGTACAAACTGTGAAGTCCACTGAGACAAATGTAACATTTGTGATATTGGGCTATATAAATAAACATTGATTGATTGATAATAATCTAGATTAAAAAGAATATTTAATTGCAGCCCTGGTAATTAGTAATTTGTACCTAATGATGGTGCTTAAGAAAAAGTCAGTTAGTAATTACTGTTCAGCCTGCATGTCAAAATGTTATGGCAATCCATAACTTTTACATTTCAATCTGAACCAAAGTGGTGGACCCACTGTCACTGCTATCCCTAAAGCAGTATCCACTCGCATGGCCTTAAATAACCCATTATTCTCTGCATCAGATTATCTTTTCATTTTCCTCGGCCCTGTGAAAAATAATTTCCAGTCCTCATTATGATGTTGTCCCCTGTAGCTACTTGGTTATTGAAAAATTACTTTTAATGTCGGTTTCTCGCGGTCCTAATGAATGAAATGGCAATTTGTAGCGACATCCCTTTTAAATGTTAATTGTTTCTGATAAGAGTGTCAGCAAAATTCCTGAATGATCTTCTGTGAGTGAGTGTGTGTGTGTGTGTGTGTGTGTGTGTGTGTGTGTGTGTGTGTGTGTGTGTGTGTGTGTGTTTTCTCTCACAGTCACTGTCACACTGATTGTAATCTGAAAGCCTTTTGTGTTTCAGAATAGGGGAAAAGCTATTTAGCTCCTGTGTAATTTGCAGATAACTGGCAGTTTTATGACCAAATAAAGTCAGGGTTGTCACTGCATACTGTATGTACGACATGCTTGTGTGCATGCATCGAGTATGACCTTGATTTATATGCATCAAGGTTATGGCCAGCAGATTGAAATCATCATCATGGTGATAACATGCGTCCATCACCTTGCTGCTCAGGCCTTTAGTGAAGTGTTGACAGCAGAGCTCTGACCTCCGGGCCCGACTCTGCGGGATAATGGCTGCCGTGGCAATGAGCTCAGGTGAAGGAGAGGCCTCTGTCACCTTGTGAGACTGCAGCAGATAGGATGACATTAAGTCCTATTTGTGATACCAGAGGCACACAAATGTCTTTGCCTGGCTGCAACAATATTTAACTGTTTTAACAGTGTCTAGTGTAGTGTGTTGCATTTATATTGAATGCAAATGAAAAAATAACACTTTAAAAGGCATG